AGTGAATTTTTTCTTAGGCCGGACCTGATAGACATGAATACTGTTGCTGTTCAAAGCAACCTTGCAAATTTAGAGCACGCTTTTTATGTAGCAGAAAAAATTGGTGTTATAAGACTTCTGGACCCTGAAGGTGAGTTGATTTTTTGACTGTATATGGACTGGCATGAAAGTCTGATCAAAAGTCATCTGTGAACATTGTAAAATAATTAATTTATGTTGATGGTTTTAGATGTTGATGTCTCCTCACCTGATGAAAAATCAGTAATAACTTATGTATCATCTCTCTATGATGCATTTCCTAAAGTCCCTGAAGGTGGAGAAGGCATCGGTGCAAATGTGAGTATTGATTTTTCCATGCTGGAAGCTACCGATTCAGTGATGACCAGTTGATTGAATTCTTTGATAGTAATTTATATAGTTTTTAAATGTCAAATATATTTTAAATAATTTGACTTAATATGCTGTTTAATAAGGTGATACTATATGTATTTCATGGTACCATTCCACCATTATATTTAATGTGTAACTTAAAAACCAGATTATTTTCTGTGTCATAAATAGAGGAAGTTATTCAAAGTTACAGGAAATTTAATAAATATAGGCTGCAAACCACTAAAATTTANAGGAAGTTATTCAAAGTTACAGGAAATTTAATAAATATAGGCTGCAAACCACTAAAATTTAGGGATTTCCATTTTTGTCTTGCTGGTGTTTTACAAGCGCTCTGTCTGCTATCCTTCTGTGTGTGTGTGTGTGTGTGTGTGTGTGTGTGTGTATATATATATATATATAGTGTTCTTACTTTTGAAAACAATTTCAAATTTATTAACTCATTTGATCCCATGAAATAAATTGACTAGATATTATTTTTCTGATTTAAAGGAGGGGCCCAGAGGAAAGTTATTGGATTAGGCCAAATTAACAGAGCTCCTTAGTAAGCAGGGCAAGGTCTCTGACACTTAGATTTGGGCTTTTTATTAGTTCACTGTTTCTCAAAGGTTTGTGTCATTCATTTTAATCATGCATTTTGTTGTGGTCATGCTAACAAGTGCCTATGCACTTCTGGAAGAGAACAGGAAACTGTATGTGTTACACGTTTGGGGATGACCCCCTGTATTAGTCAGTTTATGTTGCTTATAACAAAATACCTGAAACTGGGTGATTTATAAAGAAAAACAAAATGTATTGCTTACAGTTTCTGAGGCTGGGAAGTCCAAAGTCCATCTGGTGGTGGCAACAGTGACCCAAGGGTCTCACATTGCAAGATGGTGGAAGCAGAGAGAGCAGAGAGCAAGAAAGACTCTCCTCTTCTTTTAAAGCCCTCAGAACCATGCCCCTGACCACCATTTATAATCCATTCACTACTGCATGGTCCTACAATCCAATCACCTTTTCAAGTCTCCACCTTTCAATTACCATCATGGATTTCCCACCCTCTTAACAGTCACAGTGGGGCTAAGTTTCTAATACATAAAAGTTGGGGGACAGAATTCAAGCTTCAGGGAGTTTGGGGGGAACATAATTCAAGCCACTACACCCCCCTTCACCTGGGCCTCTCCCCTCCTCCTTGCAGATACCTTTTTTCTACATTACTTTGAAGAATTAGGAGCTCATCTTGTTGACTTGTTCCCATGCTCACCCTCTCATGATTCACTGTTGGGTGCTGCTTCCAAATGTTTCTTGTGACCATTCCTTGCTTTATGGTCTTCTCACTACCTCCATCCAACTCCTGCCTCTTATCCCTCCTGTAGAACCAGGGTGATTGCTTCCCTATGGCTTTCCATCTTCATTTTTTTTTTTTCTTTCCATCAACTCTGCACACTGTTGCCAAATTAATTAAAAGCCTGATGCCTTTAGCTTGAAAACTTTCAGTGGCTATATATTGCTTGTAAGGTTAAGTCCAATCTACACATTCTGACATTCAAAACTCTTCATACATTAATTCTGCTTACCTACATTTTTGCCTATGGTTTCTTAACACAAACGGTTTATTTGTAGCTGGGCATTTTCATGTCAGTGTCCTGACTTACTTGGGACCCCTCTGTCTTTTATCCACTCTCTCTACCCACCCACCCCCAACAATTACTTACTGATCATTGTGGAACTGCTGAGAATACCTCCCTCAAGAAGTCTTTAGTGACTGTTCGGAGGCACATATGTGCTACTTATCTCCACTCCTGATTCTTATCTCCACTTCTAGCATATACTACCTGTTTCAGTTATTTCAACACTTAATTAAAAGTTGTTTATATTATGTATCTCTCTTGCCTCCCCATTTAGACAGTAACTCCTTGACAATAGGTATTATTTATGTCATTATCTTTTATTGTAACACTTAACACAATCTTTGAACATATAGTCATCAAATACTTATTGAACATAGCAGTTGACAGCTTTCCAATTTCCTCCATTTTTAGAAAATTTACTTAATGAGTACACGAATAATTCCACCATATACATTTCCTGTGGTTTTTATTCCTATCTGGTTTTCCATATATTGTATAACTCTTGAGTTTCAGACAGACAGTGGTTTAGATCTAAAATGGTTGGCAGAGATGGTAAATGACTTGGCTTAATGAAAGCTGATATTTCCTCTTCTTGAGTCCTGGCAAACACCCCAAATCAATCATGGCAATTTTTTTCTGCTGTGCTTGGATACAGCCTCAGAAGCCTTCTCAACACAGTGCCCTAGGCAATTGCTCTCTTTGGATCAGAATTAGCGCTCATTAGGCTGGTGTTAGTGGCCAGGTGCTGATAGCATGTTTTTAAAGCTGTTTTTGTGGAAAGGATTGGGGCTCTGTGGAAAGTAAGCAAACATTTAGCTCGTTCTCTCTGACAGACATTCTTTAATCTCTGAATGACTTCTGATTAAATCGTGTTAGATAGGAATGTTATTATCTACAGTCATGAAACTTTTTTTGTGTGTGTAATTTTATTGTTCCAGGATGTTGAAGTCAAATGGATTGAATACCAGAATATGGTGAACTACCTCATCCAGTGGATTAGACATCATGTGACCACAATGTCTGAGAGAACATTTCCTAATAATCCTGTAGAACTAAAGGTCAGTGTCACTACAGAAGATTAAGTAGGTTTGATTTGATTTTAGACTTTTAAATAATGCTATAATAATTCTATAATTTTAGAAGTTCAAGAAA